TAAAAATCTAGCTAGGTTATCATGCAAGATATTACATAGCTAAGACAAACTCAAATTTATAATAAAGGCAACTTGCATTCAAAATGAACTCTACCCTTATATTTTATTAAAAGGGCAAATATCATGAATTAACCCAGCTGCTTACTTGAATTACAAAACTAACATGATTCAATATGAAAATAAGAAACCATCTACTAATCTCTGACAGTAATAAATTGCAATATACAATGCATACAGGCGTCATACAGAGCAACAAACTCTTGTACAAAACAAAATATTTTAATACCTTTAAAATCCAAATTTGTCTTTAAAATCATTCATGAAAAAGATTCTCATCAAGTCAGAATTAACACCTCAATTAGTCAAGCATCAAGAAGCTACATACATTACAGCTACTTAATATACAAAGAGACAGCGCTTCACCAGTCATTTCCTCTCATGTCTCTGTTCCCAAATCGTACACGCTCACTTCTCTCCACTCCCTATTCCGTCATTTCTTCAGATCATGAAAACTGAATTTGTTGAACACCAGAAATCTGTTGATAGGACGTTGTGTAAACCATAACATTTTGTTGTTGACCATCTGCAGTTATTAAGCCAGCTGGTAACTGGTTTGTAAATGCCTCCTCTGTAAGTTCTTCACTTAGTCCATCTGTAGCTGTGACTGCCCCACCAATTCCCTTCTCTCCTTTCATAGCCTCTCTGAATTTCTGAAGATATAATTTCAGAGGTTCTGCATAACTGTCAAAGTCTAAGGTAGACATGGCAAAGAGAATATCCTCTCCATTGATTGTCTTCCGCTTCTCTTGATGGCATCTTTCACTTGCCTCTGATGTTATAAAGCTTATGAACTCACTCACACATTCCTGCACACATTCTTTGGCATCTTTTGCAATCTTTCCTGTTTGAGGTATAGCATTTTTCATTATCCTAGCCACGTTTGCAATTGGAAGATATATATCTTGTTCTCTGAAACTTTCTTTTGAACCATTTGTATCTTCATGATCATTCATGCTGTCCTCAGTATTATCGTGAGGCTGTATCACATAATGACTTCCTCCAATGTAGTCTGCAGAAATTCCTAGTTGGGTAGCATCTGTAGAACTGTCACCATCCATTGTCATGAAATACTGTCAGAACCGTGTTGTCAGTGGTGCTCAAGAACACCTATCTAAAAAGGTATCCAATCTCTGTCCAATTTCAACTAATGCCACTACTATTATTGATCAGTTTATCTCATCACTCTATGATGCTGATTAGTTTCCATTCTAAGCGAGCTGAAGCCACC